GCTAAATGTTGTGCTCCAACATCTCCGATTTGATTAGATCGAAGATCCAGTGTAGTAAATGTCTGAATGAAAAGAGAAAATAAAAAGATGATATAAATAAAGAATGAATGAATATTACTGTGTTGTTTCGTAATATATCACCCAAATATCGTACTCCAACATCTCCGATTTTCGTCCATCCAAAATTTAGTGTGGTTAGTGTCTAGATGAAAAAGTGGAGGTAATAATATAATATAGCTACGTAGACACCGTAGTGTATGTTTTTTCTTGATTGCTTATTACAAAAATGGAGGTTGCTCTCATTGTGTTGAAGGGTATGTGGATATGAGTATAAAAGTTTCTATGATCAGGCATGTTCTACTGTTTTTAAAAATATCATCTTAAGAGTTTGGTAGAAGAGACGTTATGGAAAGTGACGACTGTATAGGAATTGTTTATATAGAAGTCATATTAATTGTGAAATATTTATATGAGGTTGGAGAGAAAGAAACAAAGGAATTTATTTTCGTATTGTTATGATACAGAAAATGAAGTCTTGAAAAAGATTTAAATAGCCAATAAATTAGTTTGAGTGAGACACAATTTATTCAGATAGATTTTATTAAAGTGATTCTACTTAACTATTGATTACAGGAATGAAAAATAATTCGAGAGTCAACAAAAGAAAATTAGATTTTCATGATAAAACCAAGTTTACCTTATATCGATAATAGCTGACAATGATGTTGTTGACGCGTGAACACACATTTAATATTGAAGAAAAAATCATAAATTGGTCTAGATGATCCAGAATTCGGTAGACTAGTTCTACTGGTAACATAAGAAACGTAGTGATGCTTTGGTTTGACATTGTAAACTATTGCTGAAATGCATGTTATATAACTTTATATATGAGTTAAAAGATATGTTTAGAGGTGTAAACCGATCGGTTACGCCGCCGCCGTCGCCGACAGGCGAAAAAAATGATATGCTTTTGAGCTGCCGTCGCCAGTAAACGAGAAAATTTTTAAAATTTCGAGCTGCAGCCTCTGACATCTATCTGAGTCTAAATCAAGTTTTCCTTCTTTTATATATGATTCTCTGCTGATCTTAATTTAATTTTTGCATTTTGTTTTGTACAAAAAATATGAAAGAATGTGATAGTTGTTGTTTTTACTTTTTTTGAACAGATCATGACTGATCTATTGAAATAAACATATTTTTCAAATTGAAAAAGATTTTCTTTCTCTAAATTTTCCAGCCGCCGCAGTCGCTGATCGACTCATCAGCGTGCGTCTCTACTTCTAATGTCTACAGTATTTCCTTTCAATCGTTCAATTAACTGAAAGATCTTTTTTATTAAAATAAAGCACTTGAAATTCCGAACCAAACAGTATACTTTATTTTTCTAACGGGATGCAAACTAACAATAAAATTAGGTACACAATGTAGGAATTTTTTTCTGTCGATCATCGCTGTTTTTTGTTTGCTGTAATTCATAATTTTCTAATCGATCGTATTAAGTTTTATAAAGAATTCTAAGGGTTATCTTTTGTAAGTAAAAGATGTTTGAATTTAGCAAATATTACCAAGTCTTCTACGATGTGGCTGAAACCAGTCTCATATAAACTAATTACGAATTTTGTTTAACGATAATAACAAGTAGTCAAAGTAGTTTTTTAAAAGACTCTATTTTTGTATCAAATCAAATTTAAATAATTAGAAATGCGTATTTATAACTCTTTTTCATTAGAAATTGAATTTCAATTAACTATCACAAAAATTATAATCGACATTTCTGTAAAGTTTTGAGATGATTTTCAGATTCATCTTTTTCTAGTCGATAATAACAGAGTCTTTGAAATTTTAACAGAATACCATGTTTATTTAGTGCTAAATAATTGAAAAATTTGAGATCAATAGTTTTTACAGCGAAGGAGAAAGTGTAAAAATAAAATTATGTGATATTTTATGTATCGTTTGACAACAGTCTATCTAATAGTATTCAAAGTTACTTCAGTTGCTTTTTATCGTATTATTTGTTTATTTATGAGATTTTGATATAAAATTCAATATTTAATAAATGTACAGATACTGCATTCACCTAGAAAAAGACTATCATTTATTGTTTACTCTTTATCAAATCGATAATTTCCCTGAATAATAAAAGACAAAGTGGTCTTTCATACTTCGCTTAACGACATCTTCATCAAGAGATTGACTAATACCAATGACAATACTTTTCAGATGTATTTATAAACTTGATCAATATTAAAGAAAAACTATTCACTTTTTTCTCTGGAATTCAAATAAAATGATTCAAGAAAGTTGATTATTAAATAATTTATACTTCATTTATAATATCAGTTTATATAGATGATAAGAACAATAATAAAAGATTGAGGAAAAAACAAATAGATGGCGATTTCATTGAAAGAATTCTACGTGACTGACGCGAAGGCAATACAATAACATCGTTAAACTACGGGTGTTGTATATTCAGCGTATTGAATTTGATAACCTAATACTAGAGCAATCATTTGAAAAACTTTACTAAACATTGAATTGAATAATTTTGGAAGATCACATCTGTAAATATCATGACCAATTTGAACTTGAAGTGTTGCTATAAAACTTGGACTATCACGTCGAACACCATTAATATTTTCAAAATAAGAATCTGCACTTCTACCAGGTATCATTTCTTGATCATTATAAAGTGTTATGTAAACAATTAAATCTTCATTACCAGCACTCCAAAATGTATGACATAAACCTTTTGGTATAAATAAATATTCATTGATTTCTCTAGTACCGTTCGTACCATTTAAAATATAACCTAGTGTACCTTTCTTTACATCGAATCTTTCATTTTGTTTAAGATGATAATGCACAGGTGGAGTACAAGGTCGTTTAAGTGGATGTGCATTTGTCAAAGTATTCCCACATGGTCCATCATGCATAATTGTCTGTTTGATTGTCGAATGTGTATGACCAGTTTCATTTGATCGTACAATGAATTCTATTACATCACCTTTGTGATTTGAATTTACTTGTATAATTCGCTGTCCAGTAGTGTGCGAACGTTGTACATTATCTTTACGAATATATATCAAAACTATTGATATCAAAACGAAAAGAATGGAGTATTTCATAGATTCTCTTACTACAAAATAACATTTTCTTCGTCTAGATAAACGATAAATGACTATGAAATGTTTTTTTTCTTATGTAAATATTGATGAAGAACAGGAAAAAAACGCACATGAAATTTTTCTTTTTCTTTCCTTTTGATGAAATGATAAGACGCACAAGGTATCGAGATAAGTATGAGTTAAACAAAGTAATACTGATTCACATTCTAGAGATAAAATCAATCGTCAATTTTATTTTTTTTTGACTTTTTAAATTAAAATATAACAAATTGAAACTAATTAATCTGTTGATTCGGGAATTACAAATGGAAATTTTTGAAGATCATATTTTTCATCTGTCAATTCAAGTACTTCCGTTTTACATGTATTCGAATATTTTTTTAATGATAAAATTGCTTGTTGTAAATCACTATTAAAATGTTCACCATAAATAAGATCAATAGAACAAAAAACACCATTAAATATAAGATTTGCTAAAACAGTTGAATCATGTCCTTCAATATCACTTTTCATCATTATTCTTGATGGTTGATCACCAGGTGATAATTTTCGATTTAATACTGTTGTTCTAAACCATGATGCAATATCAATACCTTGTACCGTAATAATTTTTGTCTTATTAATTGCTACTAAACTTGCATCCTTTTGATAATTGTTTTCATTGTCAGGATCAATATAAAGATTAAGCTTTTTATCTACATAACTAACAGCAGTTGATTTAAAAATTTTTACACGCCATTTTCGTGCTAAACAATATCTTTCAAATTCAGTTAAATATTTATCATGTAAAGGATTTGCTTCAAATCCAATGGAACAAACTTCATTAAAATTATTTTCAAACATATCTTCAAAAATTGGAAGAATAGGTGCACTTGGATATAAATCTGGTTCATAAAGTTTTCGAATTTGTACACCAATATTTGTTCCCATATCAATATAAATATATCGACAACCATCAAGAAAATTATTTGGAGATATATTCGAAATACTTTCTTTTATATTTTCATGTTTATTAAATATAATACCGAGTATAGTAATCGAAGAAAATATAAATAAAAGTGTTGTTATTTTTCTCTAAATAGATAATGGTGGAAATTTATTTTGAAAGTATAATCTTAATTTACCTGTGTACACTGTAACATCGTTCAGAATGATTAATTTCTCATACGTCAGTTTGTACACTAAAATGAAATGAAATTTTCGCTGTTATACAATCGCCAACAAATAGCAAGAATATAATCTATCAATACTGAGCTATAGTAACTGAGAATTTTAAACCTAAGGACTTATATAAACTGTTTTCATTCTTACTATTACCGACCGATCTGTATTAATTAACAAATAATGTTCGTCTGAGACTGGCTCAGCTCTTTGTCGTAGAAAAGGTGTATCTTCGCTATCAGTAAACTATTTAATTCAAACAATTTAAAAAAACCGACCTCAAATTTGAGTTCCTCGACCTCGATAACCCTTATAAAAAATGGGAATATGTTCTGCGGTCAGTAAAATAATTGAAATATCAGTAAATATATTAATTAATCAGTTTTCAAAAAAATCAGTAAACAATTCAAAAGTGGTCAGTAGATTTTTGTGGAAGTAGCAGTGAAAAAATCTGATTTTTGTCAGTAAAAAAAAGAAAAATAGTACATCTTTGCACAAGTTTATATTTTTTACTTTCCATTTCATTTTATTTACTGATCGTTTAAATTTTATTATGGACCTATCAAATTAATTACTGACCGTTTCAATAATTCTACTGATTTTTGAATTTTTTGGTTTACTGACCGTTTCATTTATTCTACTGACCACTTAAATAACATCCTAAACAATTTTTTTTATACCTTTACTTAATTTTCGGACTAATTAGTGAAGTGCGGACACACAATCAATCAGACAATTTATGTTTACTAAAGTTGTACAATCTATAAAATGAATAGAGAATGTTTATCAGATAAATACGCTATTTAAAGCGCATTCACTTTGTAGAAGAAATCGAGATACATCAATATGAAAATAATTCATTATTACTTAGGCTCGATTATGTAAATATACTTACATTTTTTTATTTTAGTTACTTATTCGTGAAAGAGAAATACTATTTACACGTGTTTTTTACTGTAGTTATTATTCAAAAAAATGTCTATTTTCTTTTTATGGCACATCCCGAAATATAATTTAATGCCATTGTAAATATTCTTTTAACAAAAGAAAAACGGCTGTGACCAATCATCTTGCCTTGTAGCAATACATTAATGTTACTATTTTTTTTTTCGATAGAACAAGCAGTTATATACGGGAATATATTTAAAAAAAGCGCAGTGACATGCAGCTGGCGCAAGACTATCTAGTACGAAAAAATGATATTTTAATATTCAAAAATTTGAATGATAATACTTCGATAAACAAGTAACGCTCGTCCGAGGACTCGCTTAGCTCTTTCTCGTAGAAATGTATCTTCTTCACATTTACTGGAAAAACAATTAAAACCCGCGAAAAATTGGTCTTCGATGTTTTTTGATCCTATTGACAGACAAGCAATCAATCAGACAATTTATGTTTACTGGACTCTTCTCTACGAGAAAGAGAATAGAACAAGGTACTCATATCCACACCCTATTGAATTAAATAGATAGATAACATCAATTATGAATAGCATTCTATTTTTTATTTAATTTGGTGATATTACAGTACAACTAACAACATTTAATTCTACATCCCGTATTGGTATTAAATCTCTTCCAAACATTTTATATATCATTCGTTTTAAGTCATGTCGAAAAGCTTTTGAAATAATAATATAAATAAAAAAACTAATCGAATACGAAATATTAAAAAGTAATGAAAGAAAATTATTGAGAAATATATCAATTGTTTGATGAAATGGTGTTCGTATTACATCCCTAGTAATTGCTTCATAACCAAAATACATATTAATTCCAATACGAAAAAAAACATACGCAATACCATGAGCAAAAAGACAACGAAGAAGTTGAAAATCTTTTTTTGTCATTGATCGTATTTGATTACGTTGTCGATGTCGTACAATTTTAATATGACGAATATTTTTAAAAGAAAATATACATAAAATAATCATTATAAGACAAAAACAAATATTTACAATTGCTAAATAATACGAAACAAAATCTCGATATGATTTCGATCGATCATAATAACATAAATATACTGATGGATACAATTCATATATACCAACTTTAATTAATATATGAAAATTAAATATAATCCAAAAACATGTACTTAAACTAATTGAAAAATAGGCCAAACGTTTGGAACTATACAAACGTGTATCAATATTTTGTGAAGATATTAATAAACGATCAATTGATGCAAGTATAAGTATAGTTGGTGAAAGTATAGCAAAAACATATGCGACATAATAGAATAGTTTACATAGTATTATATTCGAATTTTGTAAATTAATATTATAACCATATGTAAAAATTGTTCCAAGTACAGTAGAATTAATATAACATGTATTGGAAAATAAATAGATTTGAAAATAGAATACACAAACATTTTTTCTCCAAGTTTTTTTTGAAAATATCAATATACATAATAAATTTTCAATATTAGTTAAAATATAAATTATAGGAACTATATATTTATAAGCGTTAACAAGAGCATCATTGAAAATATTAATATAATAGTAATTGTCAGAAGAATTCATTGTTAGAATATATACAACTAAATAGTATAGTTTTATTTAATAAACTGACTTGAGTAAAATTAAATAACGGTTTCTTTTATTTTAAAAAAAAATTTTCTCATTAAATTAGTGCAATAAGTATATACATTCTTTGAAATTTATCATGTCTAACAATATAATTTTATGAAAGAAACTCATTAAAAACATAGTACTTATAACTCTTATATTAGTAAATAAGAGAAGCATGATTTTTCAAATCTTTTAAAAAGCATGTTATCATGTTTTGATGTAATATTTTTGTTATGAAATAATTGAATACTTTCAACATTTGAAATTATATTAAAAAGATTTTAAGTATTCAACATTAATTGTTTACCCTCGAAAGTGGTCCCTAATAAGAATTAATGATGAAGCAATCATTGAAATAGTCTATTTCAAATAGACTATTCGTGTCTCCAATGTGTCAAAAGTACGAACAGATCCATCAGACGCTCTCTTAGGCTTTCAGCAAACTTGATAGAGTCTGGGGACATCTTATTTTGTAAAAAGTTGCTTACTCCATCTTTTTTTTATAATTGAAACAAAGTTTTATATTTATTTGTAGGTCCAATAACACAAATCTGATATTAGTTTTACAGGATTTTCTTGAGAATCATCTTTTTTTGACAAAGGACTATTCTTCTACGAAAAATTTCTTTTTCTAAAGATTGACCGAAGGGTGGTCGGAGTCGAGGAATATGAATCTAACGTTAGTTTTTTAGGATTTTTTTGAGAATCATTTTGTAGACAAAGAGTTGTCTTTTAAAGAAAGTCTTTAGCTGTATTAGAAATATCATTTCTACGAGAAAGAGCTGAGCGCGTCTCCATACGAGCGTTATTTGTGACATATAAATCTTTCAAATTGTTTATTATCTTAAAATCAATGTTCATTACTGATTAATTACTATGTATTATGAAAAATAGTAAATAATACGAGAGAATACTTTAAAATGATATATAGCAGGTTTTGTTTAATGTTCCCAGAACGCATAATTTGAATCTATAATTAAAATAATATGGAAAATGTCAGCCTTTAATGTCTTACGAAGCGTTATATATAAAATCGCATCTCTTTCTAAGCGGGTAATCTAAAATTTGTCTTGTAATGTTTTTATACAAAAAAGAAAATTTTTGCTTTGAAAGAAATTTTCCATGTAGAACTCCAACATTAAATATAACAAAAATCTGTTATCTCGTTTAATCATATATTACATCATGATATCTTATTGAAGAAATCAAGTATAAAACATTTATTAATCCAAACAAAAAAGCTAAGCAGTAGCTTTTATCAAATACTGAGACGTCCACGATTAGAAGTTATTGTATCTTTTATTAGGTTTGAATATTGAATTAACACTAACATTATCTTATCAATAATTGCGAAAGCTATATTTCAGAAAGATATTCTTATTTATTCAAAAAAAAACAACCCAATCTATATAATAATTTAACAAGAATATGTTAGTAAGATTCAAATATAATCTCTACCATTTAAAAATACAAAAAAAAGCAGGAAGGTTTATTCATAAGAAGTTTATAAACAATGAATATGAATTTAAACATTATTTAATTGCGTTGTATGATGCATGACAGTCATTATCATAAGATAAAGAGCATCAGGTAGTTTCGTCGTATAAATTTGTAAATCATATTTATATTTTGACCACGTACGCCATATAGAACGATAACGAAACTGAGCGTATAGTTCATTAGATGTTTCCTTATATATTTTCATAGTTTTTCTAAATGCACTAGGTTTTATATATAAACGTTCATTATTCCATTGAATTTCATATTTTGCTGAAAATAATTTCGATTTACGTATCATAACTCCATCTATCCATTTATCTAATGTATCATCATATATTGAAAAAGTAACATTAAATATATTATTCACCCATTCACCTTCAACATTTGCTATTATTTTTTTAGCACGATAATCAATAATTACAATCGTATCAAGATCAGTCGAAGTAGTTCGTATTAAATACCAACGATTTTTTTCTCTTGAATCATAGGCAGTAAAATCCGTTAATGGTTTTGGTTTAGGTGGTTTATCTTGTGATACCACAAACGTTCGTAGTGATTTTTTCGATTCAATACATTTAATCGTAATAATAAATAATAATATTAATAAAAACTTTTTCAGTTCCATGATGAAAAAAGAATACTGTTGTTCTACTTATTTCCTATCCGGATATATATCTTACACAATTATCAAAAGAAAAGAACGATAAACAGTCTTATACTGACAAATGGATATTCTTCTAGAATAAGCGGTCGATAATAAATAGAATATACAATGTCGGATTAACCCTTTTCTCTATCGTTAATGGATAGAAGATATGATAAGAATAGGCAATGCTCGATTGTGGTAATAATAGATGGTTCCTTCTCTATTTGAATAATGTCTTTTAAAGATGTCTGACAAACTCAAATATTATTTTATTTAAAAAAATTAGCACCCATACACATATAATCAATAGTGAAAAAAGAATGATTATATACAGTAGTCTGTTCATTGGTTTAGTTTCTATAAAAGTATTCTTAATCTTGGATTATAATTTTGTATATTTAAAAATTGATCTTTTCCATCATCACTTAAATTATTGAATCGAATATCCAAAAAGATGAGTGTCTATGTAGAATATTAAAATGAATAAAATAATATATAAAAATTAATATTTTACTATGTTTTGACAAAGTGCTTCAGCAAGATAGATAGCTCCTTGATCAGTAATTTGATTCCATTTCAAATTTAATGTTGTAAGTGTCTATATGAAATAGTGAGCGAAAAAGAAGGAATAAACGGAAATGTATTACTTTGTTTTGGTTAAGAGCATTTGCAAGATCATATGCTCCTTCATCACCAATTTGATTTCGTTTAAGACTAAGTGTGGTTAAGGTCTATATGTAAAATAATAGATTAAAAAGGTAAGAAAAATGAATATTACTGCATTTTTTTGTAGAGTATTAGCAAAATATTTAGCTCCTTTATTAGTAATATGATTTTGTGCGATGTAAAGTGTAGTTAGTGTCTGTAGAATATAAACGAAAGAATGAAAAAAATGAAATTGATAGATATTACTTGATTTTTTTGTAGAGCATCAGCAAGATATTTAGCTCCTGCATCACCAATCTGATTTTCTGCGATATAAAGTGTGGTCAATGTCTATGTGGAATAATAAATAGACGAGATAACATGATTTGATATACTATTACTTGATTTTTTTGTAGGGCATTAGCAAGATGATATGCTCCTTGATCACTGATATGATCACGTTGAAGATTTAATTTTTGTAGTGTCTGTATAGAATGGTCAATAAATAATAAATCAAAAGACAAAAAATATTACTTTGTTGTATTGTAGAGCATTAGCAAGATATTTTGCTCCTTCATCACCAATGTCATTATAATGAAGATTAAGTCTAGTTAATGTCTATACAAAATAAATATAGAAAACAAAAAAATATGAATGAGTATTACTTGATTATGTTGTAAACTTTTAGCAAGAGAAGCTATTCCTTGTGAACTAAATTTATTAAGATGAACACTTAGATTTACGAGTGTCTATATAACATAATAAAATAAGTAATTATAAAAAAAAGAGGAAATATTACGTGATTTTGTTGTAAAGCATTAGCAAGGTAATCTAATCCTTGATCATCGATGTTGTTCAGTCCAATATCAAGTGTTTTTAATTTCTATTAAATAATATATAAAATAATAGAGTATATTATGATATTACTTTATTTTGTTTGAGAGCATTAGCAAGACGTTCTATTTCTTGTGAACTTAATTTCTTGTTACACAATTGAAGTGTAGTAAGTGTCTATATGAAATATTGAATAATTAGAGAGATAAAAAATAAAGTTTACCCTATATCGATAGTATTTATTCATGATTGTATTGATACGTTGACAGACATTTTGCATTGTACAAAACATAGAGAAATCATCAAGATTATTAAAAATTCGATAGATAATTTCTATCGGTAATGTGTCAAGAGATGGTTTTATTGTATTAGTCATTAATGAAAATAGAGCGAAATATATTTTACGTTTAATGTATGTTTTTTATAGAACGTTCTTTTTATTTCAGGTATTTATGTATGTTCTGTGACACAGTTTTACTAATGATTGTGAAATTACTTACCTGCACGTAATTATACAATTGGTTAAAAATGAATAGTGAAATGCTGACGCTTGACTCTGCAATAATGATTCATTTTTACATTATAGAATATTTTTATCAAATATAAAATATTTATTAGGTGAAAAAGAATAAAATATAAACCATTGAGAAAAAAACGCAGTTAGTATAAGTAAAAATAACTATTTAATAAAACAAATCAGTTAAAAAAAAATAAAATTTGTATAAAAAAAATAAATTTCTAACTAGAATTAAGTTTTAGAGAAAAATGGAGGATAACATAAAAATATCCTCATGCTAAAAATTAGAACAATTTTAAGCGAAGAAGATTGTATTATATATCTTCTTTTACAATTGTTCAATAAATAAATAGTAAAATAGTAAGAGAGTATATGTTATTAGAGTAATCTCTGATAAACTGTTATTATTAGTATAGATTAGAAGTATGATTCTTGTATATAAAAAGTTTAATGTAGAAAAGTGTCTTTGATTTAAGATTACTTGTTAGGGCGCCAATGATAGTACGTCATACCATAACTCTACAGTTTGTAAACTATTAGCACCATTGCTTCCACCGGTCACTATCACTATTTCACCGTTGAAAACCAAATCTGCATGTTTCGATCGTGCATATATCAGGTGACCAGCACTATTCCATGTCTTTTTTGTCATATCATAATATTCAGCAGTGCTTAAAGCAATACCAGACGACTCACCACCAGCTGCTACTACTATATTATCCAATAATACTGTTGCTGTATGTGACATTCGTGCACCAGTCATTGCAGCAACAGTTGACCATTTGTTGTTTTTTGGAGTGTATAATTCGGCAGCTGGTGGATATAAATTAGTACTATCAACACGTCCACCAGTTACTAATACTTGATCACTTGAGAATGCAGATGCTCGATGCCATTGTCGTGCGTAAGCCATATTGCTCACTGAACCTGCTTTGGCATTTGCTCCCTGATACAACTCAGAAGTGCCTGAAGTATCAGGTGTATCTCCACCAGCAAGTAATACTTTATTCGATGATATGGTAGATGCTGTGTGTTGTAATCGTTTAGATATCATATCATTAGCAGCTGTCCACGTGTCAGTCTTTACATCATACAACGCGGCAGTATTTATAAAGACACCATTACTCATTCCACCAGTTACTAATATTTTGTCGCCTGATAATAGAGATGCTGTATGCATAGTTCTTGGTACGGTCATAGGACTACGAGTTGTCCACTGATCACCTTTTGGATTATACAATTCGACACTTATTAAAATCAAACCAGATTGAGATCCACCAATTACTAATACTTGACCATCTGATAATACGGTTGCTGTATGGTTTGTTCGTGCATCTTGCATACTAGCAGTATTCTTCCATTTTTTAGCTGTCGACATATCGAAAGACTCGGCAGTATTCAATACACTTGTTCCATCATATCCACCAATGACTAACAAATTACCAGATTTTAGTACGGATGCTGTATGACCAGAACGTGCATGGTTCATACTAGGAAGAAGATACCATCCTAAAAGAAAGCATTATAGTCTATCAATAGTTTACATTAGTTGTCTTTCAATAAGAGTAAAACAGGTGGCATATTATTAATGCAAAAAACTGTGTAGTCTTTTTCAGTTTTCATTAATAAATATATAAATTAGACTACAATAATAATATATTTATTTTTTGTTCCAACGTGTTGGAATAAGATGCTAATATAAAACTTTTTATAAATCGAGTACTACCGAATATGATAGAATTTACCTATTATACACCAGTAATCAAAAGACAATAATTGTTTGAGATATACGATTCAAGTTTACATGCAACTATTACGAATAATCTCAACATAACTAGTTATATTAAGGATATGACTGAATCTCAGGTAATGTATAGACTAAAAAGAATTTATCTCATTATTGTACTATCATTCTACGCTTCATTTCAAAGTGAGAATGTAATAACTCATAGATAATAAAAAAATGAAACTACTTTAATTTATCGTCAAAGTCTATGCTCGGATTTAGCGTCAACAAAAAAAATTAACTTACCATCTGTTACTTGCACCATATAATCATGTGTTTCTCCGAATTTAACGCGTACTTGGCAACCATTCGGTAGACCACCTCGAGCTACGCTTACTCTCATTCGAAATCGACCCAATTGAACTGTTGAACTAAGTGATGGAATCGTGAGAGTAAACGTTGTAAGAGTAGTATCAGCAAAACTTCCACTAGCCACGATTTCCTGATCCATAAAGATAGAATCATTATTGAAATCAATCCAGATAGCGAAGAAATCCCGATCCGTAGCACTCTTTGCCGTATAGCCAGTTGATAAACTAATTGAATATTGACTATTTATACGTAAAACCACTTCCTCGGTTAAACGTTTGTCGTAACCATTAGCAGAGCAACCTGTTCCAACGTCACTGATTTGAGTATCAGCAACTCCTACGATTGTAAAAGTATCAATCATATCATAACCAGCCGCAGAATCACAGATGCTGTTAAGAGATGGACAATATGTATTTGAAATAGTAACAATCATTGAAGTAATAATCATTGGTGTTGGATTCTGAATAAGAATTTGACATTGATAATCTGATGGAGAATCTTGTCCAGCTCCTTGATATGTCGGTAAAACCGTAGATCCACCTAAATTATTCCATGTATTTTTACCAGTTGGTGATAATTGCCACAGATATATTGCGTTAGTTGGATCGAAGTTCACATTTGATAATGATAAGGTAAATGGTCTTTTACCGTTGCAACTACAAGTTGCAGATTGATCAGTAGTGGTAGTTGGTTGTGCTGGTGTACCAGGCCATGCTAAAGGCGAAATGATATATGAAATTTGATTTATTAACAAAATAAACATATTTGAAATATACAGATAGGAACTATGCTACTATCACACATCAATCATAGAAATAATGAGAAATAGTAGAGATTAAAGTTCAATAACTCCATCTAAAATTTCAGCGTCTCACACTATTATAGAAACATTTTGTTTTTATTAGAATAATGTTATCGAAAATATTTTAGAAAGATAAAATCTATAAATCTAAAGAACCGTCTCTTCAAGCAATTTTCCTAGTGTAAGAGAATCTAATTTTATCACATAATTCACCCTTAAAAATTATTGAAAATGATTATCAATCGTCATCAACAAATATATCGAAATTATTGTTCAATAATGAATAATTAACTTACCATTTACTATTTGCACATTGTAATCCTGAGTTTCTCCAATACCATTCAATTGCCCACATGAAGTTGCTGGATTAATAGTAGTTAACATTACACGCATTCGATGTTGACCAAATTGACCCGAGACCATCGATGAAGGTACAATAACAGTGATGGGACCTGGGCTAACACCACTTAAACTTGTTGATGATATAATTTCTGAATTTTCGAAAACAAAATTATTATTTAAATCAATCCATATTGTTATGAACATCCCAGTACTATCACCACCAGTTGATACTTGTGCCGCGTAATTCTTGTCTATGATTAGTACTAATGTAGTTGGATTAGGAGCTTTATAGCCATTTGTTGAGCAACCAGTTGCTTGATCATTGATAATTGAACCAAAATCTCCAGGAAGAATAAAATTATTTATTTCAGCATTTTGATTACAATTCATAGCGAATGTTGGACAATAAGAACTAGAAATAGTAACAATCGCTGAAGTAATAATCATTGGTGTTGGATTTTGAATAAGAATTAGACATTGATAATCTGATGGAGAATCTTGTCCAGCTCCTTCATATGGCGATAAACTCGAAGGTGTACCTAAATTACTCCATGTATTTGCACCGGTTGGTGACGATTGCCATAAATACATTGCATTAGTTGGATCGAAGTTTGTGTTCGATAATGATAAGACAAAAGGTAATTGATTTCTACAGCTGCAAGTTGATGATTGTTGAGTAATAGCAGTTGGTTGTGCTGGTGTACCAGTCCATGCTAAAAACGAAATGATAAATTAAATTAAATTCATTAACAATACAAGCACATTTACGAGATTTTTTAACAAACTTCTATATTATTTATTAAATATTTTCTTATGTCAGTAATGATTAGATTATCTTCCTGAACTTAATATTATGTTTAATATGTCACTCATATACGAATAATATGATGTTAAATAATAGACTGTACAGATCTTTATTAATATGATCTAATATAATAAATCAATAAATACTAATCATATTATTGATAACTATATTCCATATAGAATGTAAATGATAGTTAATAAGCTATATCTTTAACGACTAAAAAAATAACTTTATTGTCTTTGGAAATATCTGAACACTATTGTTCAATAATGAATAATTAACTTACCATTTACTATTTGTATATTGTAATCATGAGTTTCTCCAATACCATTCAATTGTCCACATGAAATTGCTGGATTACTAGTAGTTAACATTACACGCATTCGGTGTTGACCATATTGACCCATCACCATCGATGAAGGTACATTAAAAGTGATGAGACCTGGACTAACACCACTTAAACTTGTTGATGATATAATTTCTGAATTTTCGAAAACAAAATTATTATTTATATCGATCCATATTGTTATAAACATTCCAGTACTATCACCACCAGTTGATACTTGTGCCATGTAATTCTTGTCTACAGTTAATATCAATGTAGTTGGAATAGGAGCTTTATAGCCAATTGTTGAGCAACCAGTTGCTTGATCATTGATAATTGAACCAAAATCTCCAGGAAGAATAAAATTATCTATTTTATTATTTTGATTACAATTCATGGCGAATGTTGGACAATAAGAATTAGAAATAGTAACAATCATCGAAGTAATAATCGTTGGTGTTGGATTTTGAATGAGAATTAGACATTGATAATCTGATGGAGAATCTTGTCCAGCTCCTTCATATGGCGATAAACTCGAAGGTGTACCTAAATTACTCCATGTATTTGCACCGGTTGGTGACGATTGCCATAAATACATTGCATTAGTTGGATCGAAGTTTGTATTCGATAATGATAAGGTAAATGGTAATTGACCGCTACAGCTGCAAGTTGATGGTTGTTGAGTAATAGCAGTTGGTGGCGTAGGTGTACCAGTCCATTCTAAAATAAAAACAAATTTTAAAAATACGAACGAGCTGTGTAAAACAGTAGTATATTCTACCACATGAATATCATCTATCTGGTATTCTTGTCTTAAAAACTCATGATTCATAATAAACCTCGTAGCTGATCTATTTAATTGAACGTTTAGAATAAAATTTTGACTTACTGGCTACTAAATTCACTGTATAATCATGTGTTTCTCCATTAACTCCAGTTCCACCACAAGCTGCTGGAGTATTCTCCGGCACAACTGTTACACGCATTCGATGAGTACCTAATATAACACTAGCACTAGCTGATGGAATGATAAGATTAAAATTGGTAAGTGTTGATCCATCTAATTTTCCTCCGGCAAGTTTTTCTGAATCTTCAAAAATATAATTATTATTGAGATCAATCCAAATTGCATAGTACATATCATTAGTACTTTGAGTTGATATTTGACCTTGATAAGTTTGACTTGCATATAAAATAATTATTTGTTTTGTTTCATCATCATACGCATTAGATGCACAATCCGTATTTGCATCGTTAATTTGATTTGTAAATTCACCACTTAATATAAAATTATTGAGATTATTACCAGAAGCACAATTTGTTGGTATTGGTGGACAATATGCATTCTTGATAGTAACTATTGTTGATATTAAATTTGTCGATACTGAATTTTGAAAAAGAATTTGACATCGATAATCAGTAGGGTAATTTTGTGCATTTAAAATCAATGATGATGTTTTACTCGGTGTACCAATTGTGATCCAATTATTTTGACCAGCTGTTGAAGATTGCCATTGGTACATAGCAGTTGTTGGATCAAACTGCACATTATTCAATGTTAACGTAGAAGGTAATTGACCTTGACAACTGCACATCGCTGGTTGACTACTAACAGCAACAGGTGTACCTGGTTGTGCTGTTGTTATTGTATCTAATAAAAAATTATTCAAATCTTAAGAATATAATATTCAATATATTCATAATAGAAAATATTTGAGACTTCTAGTCAATAAAAGCACATATAAATTATCCGATATTTGAATTTAACATCTTCGTGACTGTCATTAAAACTCAGAAATTCTCAAATTTCAATATACCATTTATAATCTACTATCACTCTATCAAAAATAATAATTTTAAATTGTTTATATTTTCGAATCAATCTAAACATCTTTCATATCTTGTACTCACCAATAATGCTGATGTGTTCAGTTTGTGTGGTCATTGTTGTAGTTGTAGGAAATGTATCTATAAAACATATTTATAATTTTAGTATAATAACAAGCATTGATATATAATTCTAATCTCATTTCATTTTAGAGAAAAAAAATCTATTAATTGAATTTTTCCTTATTATAATTTGTACAATGAATTGAAAATAATTAACCTCTTTTATGTCAAGCAAAATAAATATACCTTGACGAATTCGTTGCGTACCACAAAGACTCATATCCAAATTCATCGGTGGATAACCTGTAAATGTTACTGGAAAATTGAATTTTGTGTTTGTAGTATTAAGACGACGGGCAATATTATTATTGTATTTTTTTTGACAATCTACAGGACAATGCGATGGATATGCGACTGATAATGACATCGTTAAAATATTTCCTGTTGTACCTGGATCATTTTGACATACAACATTATTACCACTAAAGTAAAAAAAAAAATTAGAATAATAATCTCATTTTCTATATAGATAATTTTCATTATAAATTAACAAATTATTATTTATACTCACCGTAGTACTTGACGTTTTCTCTTAGATGTGACTGTCGAATGTGGAAGTAATTCACCATAAGTAACAGTAACACCTTGAATATCCAATGCTTTCATCATCTAAACAGAAACAATAATAATAATAATGGACATTTCAATAGTGACATACGTTATCTGCTAATGCTTGTTTATCAGCGACACTTAAAGGTTGATCAATGTTTGTATTCGTTCCGTATACAAGATCATAGGTTGCTGGTGCTGAACGAAATAAAAATAAATTATTATAAAATAGATAAGAAAAAACAAAATATTACTTATATTATCGTAGCTGCTTATTTGTTTAGTTGGAAGATATAATGGTATAAGACCTACGACAATAAGTGTTACCATCGAGCCAATAGCTAGTATTAAACAACACATAGCTGCCATTGGTTTATGTGCCCATATACGCGCCCATAATCTTCTAAAAAACATAGACAGAAATTGATTACTATAATTATTTATATATGAAAGAATACGAGATTGACGAAAACAATAATCACTCTCCTGATAGAAATATTTTAAAGAATATACGCTACTGTATGCTTAGCTTTAAAATAAAAACGTTTTGTTTGATTCATTTATACACCTTTTTAAAAAATCATTAAATTTTGTCAGTTGAAAAATCTTTATTACTCAATATAAATTCAAACAGAGAATATAATACTCTAAAAATTCTACCCTTACTATAATGATATTTAACAAAACTTACTCAAACAACGATCCCCGATCAACATTTTGATCTATTGGTTGACCACCAATAGCAATAAAATTTGACAGCATCTGTATTATCTAAAAAAAATATTCCATTATTATTATTATAAAACGAACATTGATATAAAAAAAAGGAGTACTTACATTATGATAATATTGAAGAGTAGTATAACGTCCTTTCAATAGATATCAAAAATCAAATGCAAAAAATACAATAAGAAACACTCTTTTTTATAGTCTTCGTTAACGAGATGATCATTCAACCGAAATATTTTTATTATTCACAGTAAAACATAATTAAGCATGACTTTAATAAGAACTAGACAGCAAATATAAGGTTTGTCTGACATTTTAATAACACGAAAAAAAAATTAGGTTAATTTTGTTTATGAATAATAAAATTGATCAATTTTGATATTCGTTTTGCGTCATTATAAAAATAAAATATATAAATTATTGATAATAAACATCAAATTACCGTTGTTAATATTTCAAATTGTTTTCATAATGAAAAATTTTATAATTTTAAATTATTTTTTCAAAACTGTTTTGTAGTTTGACTATGAGACATATCCGATATTTTTTTTATCATTAACTATTTCATAGACGAAAGAAAAAAAATGAACGTACATCATATCATTATAATAATTAGTATTTCTGTAGAGGTTCATTTTCGAAAATTATATTTCTTGTCATATAGAAATTTGTCGATAATTATCTGACATATTAAATTTTGACATTAGATAAATTATAAATAATTTGATGCTCTAGGACATTCTTTATCTAACCATCCATGTAAGATGACCTAGTTCGATTTTCTACATCATTATTAATTAATTATATTTTTTATTTTTTGAATAGACTACAGCTTATCATTATATACGTATATATATTTTCTGATAAAATCTATGACGATAATGAAAAATATAAATTATGATAATAATAATAATAATAATATGCGTAGTAATAAAAAAAAATATATAATAGTAAAACATGACATTAATTAATATATTATGAAGTAGCTATTACAAGAAAAAGAAAAATATTATTTAAAATTTGAATATCAAGAAAAAAATTTTGTGCGTCGATTTTATCAGATATACATTTGTATTGAAGATGCTTATGTAAAAAAATTTTTTTATAAACATGCAAATATTTAGACGATAAAGTAAATTGAATATCTATAAATTATGTTGCAAAGTGTATGTCAAGTGAAGCAGTGGCGGATCTAGAATTTTGGAAGGGGGGAGGGGGGGCGATTCTTTTTTAGTATGGAGGGGCGATACCTGGGGAGGGAGGGGGCGATTTTGGTTAAAAGCTATTTTTTGAATCCAACCGAAGTAGTGTGAACCTATTTTTTCGTTCATTTTTGCTGTAAAAAATCAAAAAAAAATTCGGAAGGGAGAAGGGCGATCACCCTCACCTCTCCCCCCTAAGTCCGCCATTGAAAGGAAGAGATCATAACACTTGATGAGTATCTTAATATATAATATATCAAAAAAAAAGAAGATGGAAATATATAACAAGATATTATAGAGAAAAAAACCAACGAAAATATATAACAGATAATTGAAAATAAAGACGAAGAAGAACGGTAATGTTTTATTTACATGGTTATTTAATCTGATACGCTCATATGTATACATTCGAATACCGTGACATAGAAGCAATATTCTGAATCAGCAGTGTTGTGTAATAGAATTATGATGACTCTGTATAAGACAAAAGTTCATTTTACTGATATTTTCTCCAGAAAATTTCAATATGATTTATTCTTAACAAGAATCAAGACTTCTGCAGGACTTAACATAATTACAAACTACTCATTTCTGAAATAATCAGTCTTTTTTTCTACGATGTTGTTGTGATTTATACTAGTTACCAAGTAATTCTGTTAAGTATTTTCAACGCATAGTTAGACTACAGATAAACAACACGTGTTTAAATGCGTTTCGAGACAGCTGAGTATATATATATAACATAAACATTACATCAGCTTCGATTTAAGCACATTTATCGTGAATATCTCAAGATCAATCGTATTTTTCCTTTGTTAAAATTTATTTGACGTAACTAATATTACAAATTGTCCATATATCATTACAACTTATGGACTAAACATTAATTTCAAGACTTTGGAATAAATGTTTATACCATGCTGAATAAAATATTTGAAAAATACGTAATATTATTTTTTTTTATTGCAAAATTATCTGTATAAATCTATGAAAATATACGTCGTAATTATTAATTGTAATATTATTATCTATTATTTTTAATCTTATATTGAAACTAAACGTATAACTCTGAATCATTGCTATATAATGTTTTTACGTCATTTCGTATAACCGTTTTTTCAATTTGAGATTATTACAGATTGTCCGTACGAGAAAAGAATGTCTAATTATATAGATTTTAAAAAAATTCAGTTATTATAGTTTTAAATTTTAGAAAATTGTAGTTTATAAGTTATAGTCGGTAAGAAATGAATATTATTTTTGGAAGATGTAGAGTGCGGTAGATATATAAAACAAAATATAATGAAAACTGTTTCAAAGAAGATAGTTAAGTTTTTTTTCATGAATGAGGTGGGTGCAATGATTATTTTTATCTCATTGAGTAAGTTTTATCATTTCAGATCGTGCGAATATTATGTCTACTCAATAAAAATATATTAAAATAAATTTCTCTTAATCGATTGATACTTTATTTATCTTACCAATTGTTACTAATTTTCCCGACCAAAAAAATAAAAAAAAATAAAATTTTCGCGCGGAAAGAGAAGCAAATTTTGCTTAAATTTTATTTTGCCTGGGACATATGCAGATTGTTTTTGAAGTCTTTACTTAACTGAATTCAAAAATAAACGATCAGATAGTATCTCTTTCGCTGGTCTTGACACATCTCTCCTCAATACGCACGAACATACATACATACATATATATATATATATAAGAGGAAGAAAAAAGATAGGAAAGAAAAAAAATGTCTAACAGTAACAAAGTGTATTTATATCAAATTTCTGATTACACGATGACCAAAAGAATAGAAGAAAAATAAACGAACAGAAAAAAAAACACATGTATTGGTAACAAGAACGAAAAGAAACAAGAAAAAACTCACACATAAAGGTGTGAACATCAATGTGTATAGAGACAGTAGTGGATTCAATTATATTTTTTATAACATATTTATACTTACATCCTTTGATAACATCTCTCGTGCAGAATCGAAGTCGATTATGACAGTTTAATGAGAGCATGATTATCGTCATCACTAAGTTTGACAAATTACTAACATTTTATCATAAAGTTACTGTACATCAACACAAAAAAATAATAGAATGATGACAAAAAATTTTATTTCTTACATAATAAATAAAATATAAAAATTATTAAGCAGCGCAATTTATTTTAGTTTACATTCTTTTAGTTTTATTTCCACTTGAGGTGAATTGTTCTTATCGAACTTAATATTAACTATTTTAAATATTGAATATGGTAGAATTAATACTTCTTGTTCACCTTCAAATAATGATATATATTGAATATCTAATGTAGTTCTTTGATCAGGTATTTCATATTCACATATTACACTTAATCGATCATCTATCTCAACATTATTGTGAAGAAATCTTAGTACTACATTCAGGGGTGGCCCGACCGGGGGGGTGTCGGAGGTGTAACACCCCCCCCAATCTTCGAAAATTTCTATTTTTTGCTCAACAAAATCGGCAAATTTTCTTAGGTTTTTTACCCAAGATAATGTTACACCCCCTAAAAACTCAAAAAAATTTCGCTACACCCCCCCAAAAATTCAAAAAATTTCGTTACACCCCCCCCAATGTTGGCTGGCTCGGGCCACCCCTGACTACATTCATTTGTTTTGATGTCGAAGAAAATGGTTTTGTTAAAATTCGTGTACCTATTTTGCATTGTTCTAGATCATTAGAAGTAATCATCATAAAACGATATGTTATTCTGGTATATGATACTGTTTCTAATTTTGGATGTCGAGCAATTATTGCAACATATAATGTTCGACCGACGATATCTTTATCAGTTAAATTTTCCGGATGTAATTGTGCTATAGGATAATTAAGTTTAGGATACAAACCAGTTTCAGCTGTATATGCTTTTAGTAAATAAATTGAATCTTTTTCATTTACTACCACATCAAAGTATTCTTTTATTGTATGAAAATTATCAGTATCTTTTAAGTCTGTTTCAAGACAATCTTGTTTAATAAAATTTATTTGTAGTAAGGGTGTGAATAGAGACTGACACAAAAGGCGTCTACACTCACACCCACCCTCAAGATGTAACTATAGCATCAGATATTTATTGGAGTGATCAATCCGATACATCTACGAATAAAAATAGTTGAAGAAGTGCATGGCAATACTATACTCATTTTTTCTTTGAAAGCACTTCTACTATCTTCTTATTTCAAAATAAATATTATTTCGAATCTAATACTAGTTTTCTATTCACTTGAAGTATAAAAAACTTATTGATACTGTATTAATTTCACAATGTTAGATAGAGTTTTATTATATGTTTATTGAATTTTGTGGTCGATTATTCTGCCACTGTTTGTGAAGAGAAAAATCACGTTGCTTTACTGTACACATAAGTTTTCTCATTGTCTTTACATCTTTTGTGTTTTTATTTTAACTAACAACACAACATTTTATGCGGCTTCTAGCACTTCACTTCTTCTGTTTCCTGCCTTGAAAAAAAAATAATAAAAACACACACTCCATCATTTGAATAAAGCTTACATTCATTTTTACATTTTTTTTGCCTCAACAAAGTAAAAGAAAAATGTCTTCTGATGCACCTTCTTCGTCTACTCAAAATCAACGTTTTATTGATATTGAATCAAATATACTTTTACGAGCAATCTCAGGTTATCAGAATGAACCACTCGTAACACTCGAAAAAGCAATTGCACCTATTAAACAGCTCCTTGGTGAAGATATTGAAACGGATATTTACCTCGCAAAAATGAAGTCAAAGCGTCCAAAAGATGGTTTAACGCAAGATGAAAGTGGAGCCGTTCAATTACTTACTATGGACAGTAGTAGCTACAAAGAAAGTCTATATTTTATTCTCAATCAGACATTACGTTCGAAAAATCGACAACTACTAAAAATCTGGTATTCCTATCTACAATTATTATTATCTGGTTTATGGAAACTACCCAATGAAAAGAAAATAATATGGCATGGTGCGAAAGGAAATTTAAGTGATCAATTCGATATCGATGATGATATTATATGGTGGGGTTTCAATTCTTGTTTAGAATCATTGAATGTATTGGAAAATGAAGAATTTCTTGGTAAGACTGGAGCACGTACTTTGTTTAAAATTGAATCATGTAGCGGAAAAGTAATTCGTAATCACTCGTTTTTTGAAGTAGAAAGCGAAGTTTTATTATTGCCCGGCACTCAACTAGTCGTAGTCGGAAAAGAGATACACGAACCAGATACTTATATTATACATTTGAAAGAGATAGAAAAACCAGCAGTACAACTTTTGAAACCACCATTTCCACAAGGAAATGAAATACAACAACAGGCAACTATCAGAATGGAGGAAGAAGAAGAAGAACATATTACGACTACTGAAGTCGTAGAATTGGAAGTGATTGAACCAGAAATCTATTCAAATGTTCAAGAACTTGTAAAACAATTAAAAGCAAATACAGCGGATAGTACTTTGCAACTTAATCGATTTAAAAATTTATCAACTGATGATGCTAAAGCTATAGCAGATGGTCTTAAAATAAATACGAGTGTAACATACTTGTATTGTGGACATCCAAAAGATTTATCGCGTGAAAGTATGAGATGCATTCTTGAAGGATTGAAAGTAAATAGAACGATCGATCAATTAAATCTGACAGGTAGTGAAATACCCAACTGTTGTGATCTTATCGCTGAAACTTTGAAAGTCAACGTGTCATTGACAACGTTGTGGCTCGAAGGTGATGTAATTAAAACTAATGATGACGTGAAAGTATTGGCTGAAGCTCTGAAACGAAATATGAGATTAGAAATTTTAGTTTTGAGAAACACTCGAATTGAAGATGAAGGAGCAATTTTTCTCAGTGAGATGTTAGGAATGAATTACGCATTGAAACAGTTAGTCATCGACTGTGGAAAAACAGATACAAACAATTATGGTCAAACACACAGTGATTATAATAGAATAACAGATCGAACAGCTAAAGCTATAGCTACTGCTGTGAGTAGAAATGGATCCTTGACACATTTGTATCTCGAGAGTAGTGAAATTGGAGACGAAGGAGCTGTTGCTTTTAGTGAAATGCTGAAAATAAATAGAAAATTAATGATTTTGAGTCTTTCGAAGAATAAAATAACCGATAAAGGAGCCACAGTATTAGCCAAAGCATTAGGTCATAGTTCAGGACTGCGTTACTTATCAGTAGATGGAAATCTTATAACACAAACAGGTTATAGTGCACTGGAACTAGCAGCACAGAATAGTTTACCAAGAATTTCCATAGATTTCTATAGTCAATAAAATAAAAAATATAATGTAATCTTTGAATTTTTTTTTTATTTTTAAAATTTATTCACGATTTTTAAAAGTTTATTGTGTAAAAGTGTTGATTGTTTTTTATTTATGAAGAAGAAATAAAACAAGATGGTGAATACATGTTCTTATGAGCAACAATGGATATGAATGTGGGTGTTGACTTCATTTATTTGCAAATTCGAATTAGATATCACATACTGTGTGTCTGTAACAACCCATAATCATCGTAGCATATGATTTATTCAAGACTTTAACACGTGGGTGCTCATATCAATTATCAAAGGAAAACTCTTACTGACAAAGCAAATTATAATTCATCATTTTTTTTGTTCTTCTCCTGCCGTCATAGGACTGCTGTCACATTTATAATTTATAATTGAACACTTTCTTCTGATATAAGCAAGTGTTGGCATCATTTTTTTACTTATTTTTCAAGTAATAGTAGACAGTTAAAGTTTCATTTATTTTTATAACTCGAATTAGGCAGGCAGTTCAAGTTTATTACTCATTTGTACAGACATATTCAATTTAGATCGTTATTTAGAATCCACGTTGAATTGGTTAGTAAATATTTTTCAAATATCATATTTTTTCCTCTAGACGAACACATACCACCTGCGATCTTTGTGCATAACTGTCAAAAGATATTTATTTTCCTGTTAAATATAAGTCGTCAGACATGCATCTATTAGTGACAATATAACATAAAATAACGGTAAGATCTTTATTACATTTCATAACACCAGCAATTTAAATATGATAATGTATATTAGACGATTTTCTCCTATTGACTAGAGTATTATAAAGTGCGTGTATTCTATTTATTATGAACTCGTTCAAATCGGAAATAGATGATTTAGTTTTGATATAATTAACAAAGACAAATGAATGCATATCTATTGAAGAAAATTTGTTTTTGTTTAAAAACATTTCATATTAAATTATTATCACTTTTAGTTTTAAATAAAAATATTTCTTAGAAATTAAATAAATTTTTATCGTTTGTGCACGATAAACTTATGATAGTATTCAATGGGAGAGTATTACTTGAAAAAACGCGAATACCTTGAGTGAAATATTCTAAGAATTATTAACCACATTAAAATCCTGTTACTAATATTAATTAATGCGATTAGCAGGACATTGATGTGCGTTTTTCTAATTCACATCGAGTCTAGTTTAAGCATATTTATTTCTACCCTTAAATAGTTTTTTT